TAGGTGGGTGTGGTAGTGCACACCTGTAATCCCAGCTACTGGGGAGGCAGAGGCAGGAGGCCTGTTTGAGCCCAGGAGTTTCAGGTTGCAGCGAGCTATGACGCCACAGCATGCTAGCCCTGTCTCAACCGACAACAACAAAAAAAGGAAGTGTTTTTCATGAAATCTCATCACGTACAGTCACTTCTTCCTGTTTTTTAGTTTCATTAAAGATGTTTTGGTGTCAGGTGCAGTAAAAATACAGCTTTTTTGACACCTAACTAGAGCCTGGTCATTATGCAGATCTCTGGGACAATATAAGAGAAGTGTTAATGGCTCCGAATTTGTTAGAGCCTGATTTGGAGATTTAGGGTTCAGCAAAGGGAGGTAAGACAGAACAGTGGCTTAACCTGATGTAGGTTAGTGAACCGACTGCTTGAAGCTTAGGACAAAAAATCCTTTACGAGGATTGTTTTCTGGATCTTACTTATCTGGATCAAAATTATCATGTGGTTTGCAGACCAGGAAATGATTCCGCCATGCTTCTTATCTGAAATTCTCGCTTTATGTACAAAAAAGCAACTGTAGCAAATTCAAGTGCAAGTAGCGCTTTATTACACCCAAGTCATCAGAGTTCTATTAACCTGAGGTTTAAGCGTGCCCCCACTCTGGTTCCTAGAACTCCCTGTTCTCCCCTTATTTTCATTTGTTTCTGTCCAACATTTGCCTCCTCGTCACTCTCTTTGTAAACAATGGTACTCTCTGCACTGTCACCCTGCTTTTCAGTTCTTATGGTGGCAGTCACTTCACAACTCCCACATTTCCACCACCTCTGTCTAGACTCTGAGCCAGAATGTTTTTTGTTTACAAAACAATGATGTTTTGACACCGAAACATCATTAATGAAACTGAAAAACAGGAAGAAGTTACTGTACATGATGAGATTTAATGAAAAAGAAACATTTTTTTAAAATAGCATGCACCTCACTGGCCAGGGTGAGTAAAGGCCATTCATTCCTCATCAAAGCATCTATAGCCAGAAGGTAACAAAGGAAGGTCACTCGTTTCCTGTGGACTTGGCGGGGTAGAGATCTAGGACAGGACGGAGGAGAAAAGGGAAATACAATTGTTACGGGCTTTAGGGCGGCACCTGTGGCTCAAAGGAGTAGGGCACCAGCCCCATATACTGGAGGTGGTGGGTTCAAACCTGGCCCCAGTTAAAAAAAAAAAAAAAAAAGATTGTTAAGGGCTTCATAGAAGACCCAAAAAGTATTACTTCGAAAAGAAGAAATCTGGCTTAAAGATTTGCTTAGGTCTGACAGCCAGATCACATGCCAGGTCTCCTAATTTTTAAGTCCATAACATCCTTTATAGGAAAAAATAATAAAAATTAAAATTCAAAGGAATTACAGTGTTTGTGAGCTTCCACATTGGATGTCATATATTTCAGGAAAGCAACCGAAAAGAATGAATTGATTTCATGGTCAAAATATTGATATAATTTTAGTGGACCAAAGGGTTGTCTCCCCATGGCTCTCACAATGGGTCCGTTTTGATCCCTTTTGTACAAATACAAATCTAATATTAAGATCTTTTGGTCATAAATCTTAGGAAATTGAGGTGATTTTGACTAATCTCAGAGCAGAAGTTTGCTTTGCATATCAGATTATAAATTCTGTGTGACTCTGAGTTTCCAACCAAGTGGAACTCAATCTTTGCTGTCTTGCTGAAAGGTCTCCATCAATACTAACTACACCTGAGTGAGATTATTTAGAAAAATGTAGCAAAATTGGGCGGCACCTATGGCTCAAAGGAGTGGGGCGCCGGCCCCATGTACCAGAGGTAGCAGGTTGAAACCTGGCCTTGGCCAAAAACTACAAAAAAAAAAAAAAGTAGCAAAATGTGTTCTCCGTTTGTGAGAACTTTAGTGGGATATTTGGATGTGGGGAAAATGCAAACGCTAGGGTACAGTTGGGGGTTGGGGAGGATGATTCAGGGATAACGATATATTATAAAATAATATAGGACAGTAATCTTATATCATTTATTAAAACCACAGCAATTCTTATATAATGTCATAATAGATCAACTGTAACTAAAACCACAGGGTCTGATAGAGTTTACAGGAAACATGACCTAAGCTTTGTGAAGAGTATCAAATATTCCCAAAGCTTTAAAATCCCAGACTCGGTTCTCTAAATATCACTTCCCTGGAAGGAATATTTGACAGTTACATGAATATATGACCAACTCCAGGGCTGAGGCAAGAGATACACAGGATGGACCTAGAACATCTGATCACACCAGAAAATGAGGAAGTTAGCCAAAATCTTTGGGATCATGTCAAAAAGGAACCAAATTGAATAAAACTTCCATTACCAAACATGGGACAATTTGTACATAGTCAAAGATGATGACTGTAATAGTATAAAACACATATAATATGTTTATTTTTATTTTTATTTTTTTGAGACAGAGCCTCAAGCTGTCCCCCTAGGTAGAGTGCCGTGGCATCACAGCTCATAGCAACCTCCAACTCTTGGGCTCAAGCGAGTCTTCTGCCTCTGCCTCCCAAGTAGCTGGGACCACAGGTGCCTGCCACAACACCTGGCTATTTTTTGGTTGCAGCTGTCATTGTTATTTGTTGGGCCTGGGCTGGATTTGAACTCACCACCTTAGGTGTATGTGGCTGGTGCCTTAGCCACTTGAGCCACAGACGCCAAGCCCATATAACACGTTTAAATTCAAAAGTTCATCATGATACAAATAAACTCATTGGTCATCTTAACAGTTGCTTGGAAACCAATCCATTATGTTGCCTTTCTATACCTTAGCTCGGTGGTTCTCAACCTTCCTAATGCCACAACCCTTTAATACAGTTCCTCATGTTGTGGTGACCCCCCCAATCATAAAATCATTTTCGTTGCTACTTCACAACTGTAATTTTGCTACTGTTATGAATCACAATGTAAATATCTGATATGCAGGATGTATTTAGGCAACCCCTGTGAAAAGGTCATTCGACCCACAGGTTAAGAACCGCTGCCTTAGAATAACCAAATGATAAGGAGTTGATCTTCCAAGGGATTTCAGTTAATAAATGAATGACAGAATTAGATTATTATCATTTTCTAATCCTCATTGATCAATGGGTCAAAGCAATGATCACCAATGGCTGTATCACAAAGAGAGACAACTGTTAGGGACCTCCTGATGGAAAACCTGAATCTGATGGTAGCTCCATATTTACGGAAATAGAGGGGCTGAGAAATGTACAAATAATACCACAGAATGAAATCAGCAAAATGCAGACTTTGGGAATCACTGGAAGATAAATGATCTGGTTTCTTCAATCAAAACAAAATAATCCAAAAAAAGTACAAGGGGAAAAAAATGAGGTACGTGGCACAGGTGGGAGATACATCTGAAGATACCAAAAGAAGCTTAAAAGATATTATCATCTAACAGTAATGTACAGTCCTTATCTGGATAAGAGTTAAAATAACTATAAAACAATAATGTTGATAATTTATAAGACAAAAGGAAAAACATGAAAACAGACTGGATATTTGATTTGATGCCTTACGGAGTTTTTGCTAGTTTGTCTTAAGGGCCTGTGGTATTACAGCTTTGTGTGTGTGTTGAATCATTAATATTTGCAGATGCAAACAGAAATACTTGCAGAGGAAATGAAACAGTCTGAACTGTCCTAAAAATAATTAGGAATGTATAAATTATACTGCAATTAAAACAACTAGGAATATTGGGGGATGTGTAGTTGAAGCAAGGTTGGCCATGTATTGATAATTAGTAAGCCAAGTAAATAGTAAATTGGATTCATTAAATGACTGTAATTTTTTCTACTCGGGTAAGTTTGAAAACTCCAGAAAAGAAAAAAAAAACCCTCTAGGGCAGCAGTTCTCAATCTCTGGGTCTTGACCCACAGGAAAGGTATTAAAGGGCTGCAGCATTAGGAAGGTTGAGAACCACTGCTGTAGGGGTACAATAAATACTTACTGAAGAACCCCAAAGTGCTGAGTAAATTGTAAGTACTAAATGAATATAAGTCTATTTATTTTTTGAGACTGAGTCTCACTCGGTCAATTACAACTATCATAAGGCTTCTTAGTCATCGAGAAAAACTTATGTGGTTTATCAAAAACACTTTATTAATCCATTAAAGTTATTGAGTAGAAGAAAAATGATCACAAAGATGTCTCAAAGAATAAGTTCCAATTTATTTGTCAAAAAAATTTCTATCTGTAATCGTTATTATCAGATGTGGGATTGTCATCAAAATGTGGATGATCATTAAGAATGTATTAAATAGATTCTTCTATGATAAGTGCAAGAATAGAAGTATTCCTTCATTTATCTTTCCTTAATTAAGATGAGCAACTGACTCTGAGATCTTTAGCCCAAGAAGGAGTGGGAGAGGCATAGCCGGCTTTCTCGGCTGCAGAATGCTTCTGGAAAGGATACTGAAGAACTTGCTGTAGAAGACGGACCTAGTAAACAATTTACATAGGTAAATATAGATTTTCTTACTTAGGACACTTGTTGATTTTTTTTTTCTCCCTCTAGAGTGCAGTGGTACCATCATAATTCATTGCAACCTCAAACTCCTGGGCTCCAGCAATCCTACCTCAGCCTCCCAACTAGCTGGGACTGTAGGCACATGCCACTACACCCTACTAATTTTTCTCTTCTTTGTAGAGAGGTGGCATCCTGCAGACCCAGCTACTGGGGAGGCTGAGGCAAGAGGATAGTTTGAGCCCCAAGTTTGAGGTTGCTGTGAGCTAGGGTGAGCCCACGGCACTCTGCCCTGGGTAAAAGAGACTCTGTCTCAAAAAAAAAAAAAAAAAAAAAAGAAAGAATTATAGACTTTAAATTAATAAAAATAAACTTGGAGGCTGAGGCAAGCGAATCACTTAAGCCCAAGAGTTTGAGGTTGCTGTGAGCTGCGATGCCACAGCACTCTACTGGGTGACATAATGAGACTCTATCTCAAAAAATAAATAAATAAACAAACTTGGGAAAGTCAGCCGTCTTACCTCTGAGAAATCATTCTTTTCTGCTTTCTGCACTGCAGATTCTGCCATCCAATTCTTCAGCACATATCTTGGGTTAACAGCTTAAGCAAGGGGGGGAAAGCATATCTTGAAATAATAAATTATGATAAATGACCAAAAACAGTAAGTCGACACAGAACTTATGAGATCACGATGGAATTTGATAACCCATAAGAACTTTGCCAGAAAGCTCGAAAGAGAAGACATTATCAGTATCAGTCAATTTTAATTATTTATAAATAATATATAGCGTTTATTCTCTTATGATACAGAAAAAACTGTTTTTGTGCCTTCTGATTAATATTATATTTTTTCTTTTTAGTGTTTCATCATTAATTTGTTTTTTTCACCAGCTTCAGTTCACTAGGCATAAAGAAGTAGTGAATTCATCTTCATTTGGCCCTGGATCCCAGTTGGAAGGGAAAAAGAAAACCAGCTGCTGCTTTTGACATTTTCGAGCATGGAATTAAGGTCTGACTCAGTACAACTGCTTAATGCTGACCTTGTCCAAGAGCAGAGAGGAAAGGTCATATGCAGGCAAAACCTTTTAAAAATCTGTATTGTCAAAGTAACCACACATTTTTTTCATATTACGAAGTCTTCTAGGCAAGGCACAGTGGCTCATGCCTATAGCACTCTGGGAGGCCAACGCAGGTAGATTGCTTGAGCTCAGGAGTCTGAGACCAGCCTGAGCAAGAGCAAGACCCCATCTCTACTAAAAGTAGAAAAACTAGCTGGGTATTGTGGTGGGCACCTATAATCCCAGCTACTCAGGAGGCTGAGGCAAGAGAATTGCTTGAGTCCAGGAGTTTGAGGTTGCTGTGAGCTAAAATTACACCACGGCACCCTAGCCCAGGGAAACAGAGTGAGACTCTGTCTAAAGAAAAAAAAAAGCCTTATAATAATGGCACACCTTGGGTGGCATCTGTGGTTCAAAAAGTAGGGCACCAGCCCCATATACCGGAGGTGGCGAGTTCAAACCTGGCCCTGGCCAAAAAAAAAAAAAGGCACACCTAAAAAAATTCCAAGAACTGTATCTTCATTTGCAATGAGCCTTTTCCAAAATAATTTCTCAACTAGTCAGAGAGGGAAGATGCTATTATCATTGGTACAAGAGAAATTCTGAAAAGACTGCACAAATCAAAGTTACATGATTCCCAACTGCGGAGGCCACATCATAAGGAGGACATATTCCATTTCAACTCAGTATTAATGATTGGCCAACATGATAGATACCCTAAATATATAATTGCACTGAGATCTAGTAATTCTATTTCCCCTGGATGATAGTCTGAGGAAACAAATTTAAACATACGAAGCATTATTTATACTCAGGGAAAACCACAAACAATGATGGGTTGTGTCAAACATTACATATACATTCCACGAAATATTATGCAGCTATTAAAAATGTTGCATTATAAAGAATGAAATAACAAGGGAAAAAATGCTTGATTTACTTTTAGTGGAAGATCTAAAATGATACCATAGAATAATTAGGACTCTATTTTCTCTGTATCAATAGTCACAGAAAAAGAGAGATTAGAGGTTTTCTTTTTTTTTTCTTTTTGGGGGGGCCATGGTGGGTTTGAACCCGCCACCTCCAGTATATGGGACTAGAGCCCTACTCCTTTAAGCCACAGGCACCACCCCAGATTAGAGGTTTTCAAAAAGTGAATAGCAATTTGTGTTTGGGTGATACTTTATACATGTTATACGGTTCATCGTTACATCACCCTTGCAAAATATTTCCAACTTACCACATCTTGAAACTTGGAGAGTTAAGTAATCTTTCACTGCTAAAAGGTGGCAGAGACAAGATTCAGCTGCCAGATTCTAAAACCCACCTTCTTTCTACCACACCCCAAACCACCTGTCTCTTCACTATCTTTTAAGACAATATTAGTATGCGAACTTATTGAAAGCAGAGCTAAAAGGTTCTCCGTTAAGTCACCTGCTGAGGCTAGAAAAAAAAAGCCCATACATGACACTTCAACTCACCTGATACTCACCTATAATTATTCTAGTTAAAAACAAAACAAAACAAAAAAACTCAGTCCCCTTAAGCCATTGCTTTTGGCTTTCAAAGAATGTTGCTTTCACGTGCTAATCCGTAACACAGAATAATTGAAAGGGTTACATACTTGTCATTCTTTTTCTTCTTTCAGAATCTGAGTCCTTCATGTTACTAAAAATGAATAACACAAAGGATAAAATTAACTGTAACTCCCCAAGCTGTATCTTTGTTGCAAGCAGGAGGGAATTATTGCATAAGACAAAGAAGGAGAAAAAATATTCAAATGCCACGTCGAATCAGTGTTTGAAAGGAAGACAGGAAACACAGCGTTTGATTAAATAATGTGTATTTGCTACCTTGTTTGGCTGTTTGAGGCAATACCGAACCTTCTTTTATTTTAATCAATTAAAAAATTTTTTTTGTCTGAAAAGAAACCTAAATGATAAACATAGTTTTCTAAAACTAATTTAACGTTTTCTTCATTACTAATAGTGCCCTTTATAAATAGCCCTTAGTAGCTATTAAACTGTGCAGGGCTATTTGTTCATGTGCTTCCTGTGGTTTTCCTGTCTTCCTTCTCCCTTCAGCTGCCACTACCTACAACTTACAACATTGTCTTTTTTTCTTTCTTTTTTTTTAAAGAGACAGGGTCTCTGTCGTCTAGGCTGGAGTGCAGTGGCAAGATCACAGTTCACTGCAGCCTCCAACTCCTAGGCTCAAGCGATCCTCCCGTCTCAGACCCCTGAGCAGCTGGGACAAGACACTGGGCAACATTCAACATCTTTATTCTTCATGCTGGTTGCTCCTAACTCATGTGAGTTATAAAATAAAGTAACAGCCAGGCACCCTGGCTCATACCTGTAATCCAAGCACTCTGGGAGGTCAAGGCAGGTGGACTGCTTGAGCTTGGGAGTTCAAGACCAGCCTGAGCAAGACCCCATGTCTACTGAAAACAGAAAAACTAGCCAGGTTTCCTGGCTGGTGCCTAAAGTCCCAACTACTCGGGAGGCTGAGGTAGGAGAATCACTTGAGCCCAAGAGTCTGAAGTTGCTGTGAGCTATAGTGACACCATGGTACTCTACCCAGGGCAACAGGGTAAGGCTCTGTCTAAATAAATAAACAAATGGATAAACAAACAAAGTAACTTCTTACAGTTGTGTAAGATGTAACAATAGGTAGACACCAGAGGAAAGCCTAAACTGTCAACTGGATACCTACAGAGCTTTAGAGTTTGGCCTCTGGAAACCTATCAGCTGTTATCAGAGTTGAGGTGAACAGCTGAGTGCTCTCTGCGTGAATGAGGTGTGACTATAGACAGCTCAGTCACAGCAAAGTACCCAGGAGTAAAAGGAAATGCTTAAACAATGAAAGGAAGCGAGGAACCTGACAGGTCGAAGGTGATGAAATGATATATTGAACGCTTTTTTTTTTTTTTTTGCAGGTGATTAGATGACTTTACCTCTTCAGCCGCAAAAGGTACTGGGACACCCAGGCAGGAAAGAGTTTGTGTTTTGAAATTGTCTTCAGTGCCCAGAATTGCTAGATGAAAATACAGTAACATTGCTTATTATAGTAACACTTATTTAGTTTATTTTAACTTTATGTTCTGTAGCAGCCCGTATAGCCTATGGCTAGGAGGAGTGAGAGTTATAGGAAATACCTGTAATGGAACACCTTGGTGAAAAGGGCATGGGGAGAGATTTAGCACTCCTAACAAGCACGAGAGCTCGCGAGATGAGAGCAGTGGTGACTTGGCAGTCTCTACACCTGTGGTGCTGAGAGGCACGAGCTCAGCCCTATATTAGGCTGGAGGAGCAGCTAGTCTGTAAGCGTGCTCCTTCTCTCCTGGACGCGCTTACTCTGACTCCTCTCCTGCCTGCAGAACGCCAGCACGGCGTCTCTCTGCTGAAGATTACCAAGCTCTGCTAAAGACTAAGATCTATCTTTCTAAGAAGACTGCTTTACTCTCTCTAAGACACTCTCTCTCTCTCTAACTAAGGTAGATAAGCCCTCAGGCACCTAAGAGAAACTGTTCCTGAGCAAGGTAGCTTAGCGGTCCACGTCTGGAACCTACCTAAGCCAAGTTGAGACCTGGCCAGTCCCGGGCCCTGACAAGGGGTGTCAGAAGCGAGATAGTGAACGCCACTGACAAATGGTGCTGTGAGCAGGATTCCGTGAATGCGGGCCGAGAGGGAAATAAGCTTTAGCAAATAAGAAAAAGGAGAAATATATTTAGAGAGAAAAGAAATATCTAAGAAAGACAGCCAACAGCAGGCCTTTCTTATCTGGTTTCTCCTCTTTCCTACATTTTCTCTTTCCAAATTGTAACTACTTCTGTGGGGAAAAAGCTGGGAATAAGCCTTGAGCCTTTTCTGGGAAGCAGCTGGGGGGGGGGGAAGCAGGAAAAAAGCCTTTAAAGCAGAGGGAAAGAGAAAAGATAGAGCTGGGAGATAAGAACCTTTAGCAAACAAGCCTTTAGCCTCAGGGGTGAGAAAAGCCTTGGGTAAAACAGCAAAGAGAAAAGTTTGGGACTAGGTTGCAAGAGTTTATGAAGTTAGGGCAGAGAACTTCTAACTGCCTTCCCTATATCTTCGCCCAATGCCAGCAGGAAGTAGCTTTTGAGAGACCGACGCCCCGATTCCCTTTCTGGCAGTTAAGAGTTCTGTTTAAAAAGAAAAGAATTGAGGTAGACTGAGGCTGGTGGAAAAAATAGTGGAAAGTAAAGTTTGTAAAACAACAAAGACTCTAGAGTAAAAAACAGCTAAAGAGCTCCTATCTTTTTAAGGCAGCCAAAGTTTCTAAGAACTGAAAAGGAAAGATTATAAAAAGTAGAAAGCCGAAAGAAAAGCCAGTAGAGGAAAAATCATGGAAAATGAGATATGGCAGTGGAAGTCGCAGATGGAACAGCTTAAAGACGAGATTAAGATCATGGCAGCTGGAAGATCAGAGGGTAAATCCCCCAGTTAACATCAAATGCCATAAATGTGGGACGCTAGGCCACAAGAAAAAGCGTTTAAAAGGGAAAAGAACGCCAAATGCTAAAGAAAGGGAACAAAGAGCATGTAAACCTCCAGGTGTATGTCCTGAGTGTTTAAAAAAAAAAAAGGCTTTCACTGGGCAAACGAATGCCGCTCTCAATTTGATAGAGATGGAACATCTTTATTGTAGGGAAATTATCAGTTGGGCCAGAATCGGGACCCACTGGTAAAGGAAAGAAGTTAAAATAGTTTAATGTCTTCATTTCAAACTATTCTCAGAAAAACAGTATAATTCAATTCTGTGCTATGGGAGCACTCTGCCAGCTTGGTTAGACCTGTGGTGCCTTAGTGTAAAATGGGAAATTAAGCCAGACCAATAGATGATAATGGAGAATAATTAGATGAAATGTTTGTGGGATATTAGGTAATCCTGCGTGGTGAAGGGGTAACCCACCTCTGATCAGCGTCTGTGTACTGTAACCGGGTCCAGCTGAGGAGACTGGACACGGCCCAAAAGGGAAAGAGAAAGTGAAGCCTTTGGAAGATTATGGGAGGTGAAAACAAAGGGAGGGAAGCGTAAAAGTTTAAACCACCTTTGTGCTAGGGAGCTCCATTTGAAAAGTCTGGAATCAATTAGCAAAAATTTCGCTGGAAAAGCAGCTTGAAAGCAGGAAAAACTCTATCGAGGAATTGTGAAGGGTAGTACCTTTGGGACCTCGAGTAACAGTTCCACGAGAGGAACTGCCAAGTGTGGAACCATTAGTCCTCGAGTAAGTCTTTTGAGATCTGTGAAGGGTGGAACTTAGGGACCTCGAGTAGCAAAGCCCTTGGAATAGCGACAGAAAGGTCCTTGCTTGCAAAGAAAGCCTTATCTTTTGTGCGTTAAGTAAATATCAAAGGAAAGTTCCTACAGTTAAAGAAATGGTAAATTCTCTCAGGAAAGATCTTGCGGTTTTTCTCCGTTTAAAAGACCTTTAAGGGAATTAACATCACAATCCTCTTTCCCTAGCAGTGGCTAATAGTTTACATCTGTATTGGGCATCCTCATTTAAAGAGCCCATACCTGGAATTCTGAACTGACAATTACCATCTTTTGCCTAGCAAGAAAAAGGCTAGATAACAAGAACTGTTGTTACCACATTAAAAATTATTTTGTTTGTATATAAAAAGGGGGGTGAATGTTGTAGCCCATATAGCCTATGGCTAGGAGGACTGAGAGTTATAGGAAATACCTGAGTAGTTCAAGGATGGAACACCTTGGTGAAAAGGGCATGGAGAGAGATTTAGTTCTAACAAGCATGAGAGCTCACGAGATGAGAGCAGTGGTGAATCGGTAGTCTCTACACCTGTGGTGGTGAGAGGCACAAGCTCAGCCTTGCATTAAGCTGGAGGAGAAGGCAGTGGAGAGCACGTGCATTCTATCAGGGACGCGCTTACTCTGACTCTGTCTCCTCTCCTGCCTGCAGAACGCCAGCACGGCGTCTCTCTGCTGAAGATTACCAAGCTCTGCTAAAGACTAAGATCTATCTTTCTAAGAAGACTGCTTTACTCTAAGACTCTCTCCCTCTCTCTCCAGCTAAGGTAGATAGCCCTCAGGCACCTAAGAGAAACTATTCCTGAGCAAGGTAGCTTAGCGGTCCGCGTCCGGAAACTACCTAAGCCGGGCCGAGGCCTGGCCAGTCCCAGGCCCTGACAAGTGGTGTCAGAAGCAGATCTTGACAATGTTCCTTTAAATTCTTTGTTCTGTAACAGTAACTTCGCTAGCTTTTTACAAAGAATCTTATTTCAACTATTCCTAGGAGTAGCACATGAAAGAAGTATTTTCCCTTTTCTATCATTCAAGTCCAAAATTAGAGTTCATAGAAATCCGTGTAATGGGATGATATACGAAATTCTCATAAACAGAAATTACATGAGGAATGCTTATACTATCAAAGCCTTCTATTATATACGGAACTCCCTTAATGCATGATTTATTTCTAAAAACAATCCGCAATTGCATTTTATTTAGTTACCTTTGAATTCGTTCAATTCATATAATAAACGTTTGTAAAACGTCAACTATGAGCTGGGAACTGTTCAAGAAAGGATATAAAAATAAGAAAGTCCCTGACTTTAAGAAAGTGTATAAGCGAAGAATTCAATGCCATTTGAGAAATATTATGGAAATATAAGGCTAAGAGCAAAACAAAGGAATAAGCAATTAGCTCTACCTAGATAGAGAGGTGAAAAGGTTTCATATTCAAAAGACATAGAAACTAAATCTTAATACGATTAAAAATGCAATGATCATTTAAATTTTCCAACTTTTATGCTGGGCATGGTGGCTCACGTCTGTAATCCTAGCACTGAGAGGCCAGGGCAGGTAATCACCTGAGCTCATGGGTTCGAGACCAGCCTGTGCAGGAGCAAGACCCCATCTCTAAAAATAGCTGGACGTTGTGGCAGGGGCCTGTAGTCCCAGCTACTCGCTTAAGCCCAAGAGTGAGTTTGTGAGGTCGCTGTGAGCACTGGATGCTAGAGCACTCTAAGGGTGACAAAGTGAAGCTCTCTCTAAACATATTCTCCCAGCTTTTAATAACTTGAGCATTTATACTTGACTTGAACTTGAACAAGACAATTTACCATTACTTCTGTCTCATTTTTTTCACACTAAATAATTAGTGGTTGCCACTAGTTAAATGATAACCGGTTGTGATAAATGAATCATTGATATTTTCAAAGAAGCCCACTGGTTAATAGTTTTCTGGATTTTTTTCTATATTTCCTAACGAATGGGTAGACGTTCTTCTACTCACTGACTCGCTGCTTAAAGCATACTCAAACATGAAATTCTCCCACCAGAACTGCTCAAAGCGTGTTCTAAAGTGACTTCCTAGCACCAGGACTACAGACTGAGGGCTCCATTACCACGAAAATGCCTTCAGAAAGGGCTTCATAGCACAGGTCAGCATGGGAGTAAGATACTGCTGTGTCTGTTTACAGAAAATACGTTAAAGGCTAATGAAAACTTACAACTATTACTATCTTGACCCCTTTCAAATGACCTGGACTTCTGGACATTACTTTCAGTTCCTGTACCAAATTAATAGTTTGGAAGCCAGGTGCAGTGGCTCACACCTGTAATCCTAGCATTCTGGGAGGCCCAGGCAGGTGAATTACCTGAGCTCAGGAGTTTGAGACCAGCCTAAGCCAGAGCATAGACCCCGTCTCTAAAAAATAGCCAGGAGTGTGGCAGGCGCCTGCCAATACAAAATACAAGTCCTTAAAATTTTGAATTAGAGAATTAAAACAAAAGATTACTTTTCCTGAAAGTTTAGGCCAAAAACATGGTGTTCATTATGCAACACTTAAAAAGTTCAACATACATTTACTAAACAATAGCACTTCCACTCCCTAATATCTATCCAAGACATAAAAACATACGCCCACACAAATCTGTACGTGAATATTCATAGCAGCATATATTCATAAGAGCCTCAAAATGCAAACACAAATATCTACCAAAAGGTGAATAAGCAAACTGTGGTATATGCATACAATGGACTTTATTGTACTCAGTAATAAAGAGAAAGGAATTACTATAGCGGGTACAACACGGATGAGTCTCAAAACGTGCAAAGAAGCCAGAGGCAAAAGGCCACATCACTATATAATTCTATTTATAGGAAATACCTAGAAAATAAAAACTTTCAGAGACAGAAGGCAGATCAGCAATTGTGTGGGGCTGAAAGTGGAAACAGTAATCGATGGGCACAGGGGATCTCTTTAGAGTAAAATTTTTCTAAAAATCGTGATACCTGCACAAATCCATGAATTATGAAAAACTACAGACTTGCACCCTTAAAAGAAGTGAAGTTTTAGGATATATAAATTATCTCAATAAACCTGTGAAAGAAAACTGAATTAAGGGAAGCCAAGGGTTGCGAATACGTACCTGGGGGATGTTGAGCTCCAGTAATTGGCTTTGAGTAATCTCACTAAGCTGCCGAAACGTCATTGTAAAATCAGCTTCTGTCTCTTGCATGAGCTAACGAAAGTAATTATGTTTATCAATCCCAATAATTCAAAAATATGCTGTATCAAATGTTAACCAGGAAAAAAAAAGGATAAAATGATAAACTCACATGCAGGAGAAATGCAATTAAATCCTCATCACCCTCCCTTTCTCCAAGCAATCCCAACTTGGCTTGAAACAATTTTCGAAATCTAAAGGAGAAATTGTGTTAAAATTCTCAGCAAGAATTGTCCTCAACCCAACCAAGATGCTTTAGTATCTGTATTCAAAAATGACAAACCTTGTGTAATAAAGCACAGGGTACCCCTCAAGAATGTCAGCAGCGCTATGAGGGAAGAAAAGAAGGTTAAACTCTGAGCATTCTTGAATTACGTTGTATGAGAACAAAATGAACCTTTTTATATGTAAAATAATGTGGAGATTGCATGTTACTGGTTTTGGTTTAGTAGCTTAATTACACGTTATACTGCAGAAAAAACTGTCAATGTAAGTTGTCTCAAAGATTGGATACGATGCAGCTCAAATCATGTCACTCTGACACCAAAAGAGTTTTATATAAATAGGTTTTGGTATATTTTAAAAACCATCTTAGGCTCAAAATAATGCATTATAAATACACTTTCAATTGTGCTATTTTAAATTGCACCAGAAATTTATGGCCTGTATAATACCTTACCAACATGATACCATACATACACCTATACTAGTATAATATTCTATTTGTCTAAAAGTATGATAAAACAATGAAACATTTCACAAAAACATAAAAATTAAAGAGTTCTTAACCTTAAACCCATCTTTAGACAGACTATCTATTTAACATTCCTCTGGCTTATTCTGCTGCAGCCACACTGGCCTCCCTGCTCTTCCTAAATGCACCACGCACACTCACACCACAGGGCCTTTGCACAGACCGTTCCCTTACCAGTAGCATTCTCCCCCAAGATGACTGCTTCACTTGTCCTACAACACCTATGCTCAAGTGAGGTCTTTTAAAACTCCAAATCCCTTCCTCCCTGGGCTCCTTACCTCCTGTGCTGTTTTCCTCTGTGGTATTTATCTCCTAATGTATTAGATCACTTGTTTTGTTTATGGTCTGTTATCTCCCGGTAGAAGTAAGCACCATAAGTGCACGGTATTTTTCCTGTATTTTTTTTTTCTGTACCCTTAGCACCCTGCAGCATCTAACACATATTGAGCACCTAATTCCTCTCAATAAATATTCACTGAATGAACTCTGCAGGGCAAAATGGGTATAAACTTGATGGAGAGAACAGGAGCAAGACTGCTTAGTATCATTTTACATAGCTTTGATTTTGAACTATATAACAGTACTACCAATATATTTTTAAATTAAGGGAACTATAGATGGAATACAAAATTTTTGTCTTTTAGTGAAGTATTTTTGCTACCTGGGATTAATAGAATCGCTAGATGGCTTGCCTTCCATTCGGAATCTTGTTATACTAGAAACAGGGTAAATTTTAGTGGGGATAGGGGATAGGGAGGGTGGGAAGAGAAATATGGTTTATCTTCACATGGGAGATAGAGAAGTGTTTAAAATGTGGTCTCGGGTGGCGCCTGGTGGCTCAGTGAGTAGGGCGCCAGCCCCATATACCGAGGGTGGCAGGTTCGAACCCAGCTCAGGCCAAACTGCAACAAAAAAAATAGCTAGGCGTTGTGGCAGGCGCCTGCAGTCCCAGCTACTCGGGAGGCTGAGGCAAGAGAATCACCGAAGCCCAAGAGCTGGAGGTTGCTGTGAGCTCTACCAAGGGCAACAAAGTGAGGCTCTGTCTCAAAAAAATAAAATGTGGTCCCTACCCTCAAAAGCTCGATGTCCCGTAATCGATGTCCCATAAAAATATTTAATGTTTTATATTATTAATGTACTCAGATTATCATTTATGGTTACTTATAGAGACAAATGTATTTCAATTTGAGCAATTATAAAATAGCAAATTTGTTTAGTGTTTATTTACTCTGTTTAAGAAAAAGGCAACCAGGTTCCCTTAACTCTTTAGCATAACAGCAGATAGATGGAGATTAAAACCTCAGTTCAGGCCTGAAGAGAGGTGGCTCACTCCTATGATCCTAGCACTCTAGGAGGTTGAGGCAGGTGGGTTGCTTGAGCTCAGAAGTTCAAGACCAGCCTGAGCAAAAGCAAGTCCCCATCTCTACTGAATAAAGAAAAACTAGCCTGGCATCATGGCAGGCGCCTGTAGTCCCTGCTACTAGGGAGGCTGAGACAAGAAGGATCATTTGAGCCCAAGAGTTTGAGGTTGCTATGAGCCATGACATCATGGTACTCAACCTCAGAGTGACTAAGACTGTCTCAAAAAATAAAAAATGAATAAAAACAAATCCAGCTTATTACTGATAAAAACTAGTCTGGAGAATATGGCTCAGATCTGCAATTAAACATAGTCACAGACCATTTCGCACAACTGAATCCACACTCTAGTTGATATCCTAGACATTAATCATCCATTGCAGTAAAATAAAAATACCTATACTAATGAGGCAAGAATTCAGAGAACGTATCGCCTACATAGCCCATTTGCGTAAAGAAAGTCATCAAAACAGATGGAACCACGATAAAAGAACAGTCAAATGACTCCAAGTGGGGGCTGGGGGGATGCTGACGCCAAAGACCTTAACCCAGGAGAGAGATACTACAAAGGAAAACCTAATCTGAAGTTCAAAGTACTAAACTATCTTAGCAAAATGCAGCAGCTAGGTAACTGGATACAAAACATAAAAACATTCTCACGGTCTCATCTCATTAGGATGAAAGAGAAAGCAATGGGCAAACAGAATCTTAGTGAGAGAAGACACGTGGAAACTTGTTTTCATGTAACAGTACAGAAAGTGACAGTTGAATAAAAAGTCTCTTGTCGGTAGAGTTTCCAAATCAAAGTAGGTGGAGGATGATTCGATAGCTAAAATAAGAGACAAGGAAAGTGGGGGGAAAGCAATAGTCAAAGATGAAGTACCATGTAAGATAAAAAGAATAAATGACCTATTGATTGTTACAATAGTGTGAGGTCAGAAACCATCACATTCAGTTATAACCTGGCTATATACTTTGTCTTTACAAGAAACACACTTTGAATGAAGATAGGTAGAAAAAGAAAGGTAGAAGATAAAATGAGATTAAAAGGAAATTCAATAAAAAGAAAACACGAATGGCGATATTAATGTCAGATAAGTTGAAATTAAGTATTGAAAGTATAAATCAGAGAGCCAGGAGCAGTGGCTCATGCCTGTAATCCTAGCACTCTGGGAGGCCAAAGCAGGTGGATTGCCTGAGCTCACAGGTTCAAGATCAGCCTGAGCAAGAGCGAGACCTCGCCTCTAAAAATAGCCGGAGTTGTGGCGGGCACCTGTAGACTCAGCTACTCGGGAGGCTGAGGCAAGAGAATCGCTTGAGCCCAAGAGTTTGAGGTTCCTGTGAGCTATGACATCACAGCACTCTACTGAGGGTGACAAAATGAGACGCTTTGTTTCAAGAAAAAGTATGAATCAGAAAAAAGGGGGTCACCATTAGGATAAAAAAGCTACATTTTTTTTGAAGAAAATCTAAACCCTCATGTAGCAATAACATGCAGCAAAATTTATAAATTACAGATAACTAGAAAAAATAACCTGCTAAAAATACAATTAAATACAATTAAAGTAGGAGCTTTTTAATATACATCTCAACAAACTCACATAACAGATAAAAAATAGGATCATAAAGCAGTTGAATAATACAATAATCTACTCAACCTGATGTATCAAAACCTCTGACCTCAGAGTATACCTTTTTATGTCTGATCATCAAATATATCCAAAATGTTCTATGTTGGGCCATAAGGAAACCTTAACATATTTTGAATAGAGATTTTACCAAGCACATGATTTGATCACAAAACTACAGACAAAATAATTCTAACTACTTGGGAATTAAGAATACAGTGATAGGTTTGGCGCCCGTAGCACAGTGGTTACGGCACCAACCACATACATGGACCCAGCCTGGGCCAACTAAATAACAATGACAACCGCAACAAGAAAAAATAGCTGGGTGTTGTGGTGGGTGCCTGTAATCCCAGCTACTTGGGAGACTGAGGCAAGAGAATCGCTTAAGCCCAAGAGGTTGAGGTTGCTGTGAGCCGTGACGCCACAGCGCTCTACCCAGGGTGACATAGTGAGACTGTGTCTCCAAAAAAAAAAGATTTTAGTGATAAATAACTCTTTGATCAAATAGGAAACAAATTTCATAATATCTAAAGGAATAAATAAGAAAAACTTTAATCCTAAAAGCTATAAGGAAATTGTACTAGAGAAAGCATACATTGTACTAGAGAAATAGTTTGAAATCGTTTTTATTAAGAACTAAATAAGATGGCTTTTAGAATGTTAATTACTTTCAAAAAAAATTTGTTATACACAAATGTTCATGCAGCTTTTTTTTTAAGCAGATGTAGGATTTACTCACAGTTGCTTTTGCCTAGGATTCAATAATGGGTTTAGAGCTTGTAATAACTTATTTAAATTAAACATTCCAATGCTGGCTTGATTTCCTATTTTATATCTTCTTTCGTCATCAGATGTGTTTGGTACAAAATCTGTATTTAAAACAAAACACTACAGCTTTACAGTAGTGATACCTGCAATAAACACTTTTTGTTTTTAAGATTATATTTAAACTTCATAAATTTATATTTATTAAATCCCTTTCTCAGGGCTGGGCTCACAGCTGTAATCCTAGCACTCTGGAGCTGAGGTGGCAGGGTCACATGAGCTCAGGAATTCTCAGACCAGCTTGAGAAAGAGCAAGACCCCCATCTCTACTAAAAATAAAAAATTATCTGGATGTTGTGACAAGCGTCTGTAGTCCCAACTACTCAGGAGGCTGAGGCAGGAGAATCCCTTGAACCCAGGAGTCTGAGGTTGCTGTGAGCTAGGGTGATGCCATGGCACTCTAGCATGGGGTATCAGTTACTCTGTCCCCCCCCCCAAAAAATTAAATATTTAATTCAAAAGTCATAAAAAAGTTAACACCAATATACACTAAAAGCTTTCAAAATATGCGAAAGTTGTCTAATAGAGGAAAACATTTCTAATCTACAAGAATTTCTAGTTTATTATATATGTATTTAAATCTGCAATTTAAGTAGCATCTTCTTGACAAAGCCTCCTCTGATCTCTGTGTTAAGTACTGGATTATTATATTTCATGTTACTGGAGGGAGAGGTTAAGTTTTCCAAAGGCATGGAAGGTCAGATGATAGAATTCAAAGCCAAGTCTGTCTGACGACATATTCCCTGGTATACTTCCTGCTGTCTTCTCTAATATATAACTCCTTGAAGGCACAGCCTACAAAGGATTCATTATTACACCACTCATGGTGCCCAAAAGATCTAAAAGCCACATAAAAATGACCACTTAATGAATGAAACTCGTTCTTCCTACTACCCCACCACTATGTGACCTATAATAGCTTATTTCAAATAAACCAGTAATGGTTTTTTTAGTGAAATAAGGGGGGTGGGGGGGTGTATGCACACAAATATAAATCCTACATACCTGGATTATAGGCTTCCATAAAACCAAATGGACCATAGTCAATTGTAATGGATAACAAACTGAAGTTATCGGTATTACAAACACCTAAAACAACAAATTCCAAAAACATAATAAAAAGGCAGATTCCTTTGAACTCTATAAAATTATCCAGAATAGAAAGTCATGGAAATGCTATTTGTTTTAGAGATGAAACAAAATTAGATTATAAATTGAAAGTTTAGTTGGTGATATCAGGTAGCTTCATATACATGAAACCTATGTTTTAAAATTAAATTTAGCCTTCTATTTTATAATCCTCCCACGAAGATTTCACCTACCATAGGAATAAAACCCCTCTTTTGTTTATCCTTAATTTCTAGCATTCATTAAAAAATATGTATTACTTGGAATGAAAATTGAGATTAATAAAGAAATAAGGTTCTTTCAAAGGTTTTAAAAAGAGGAAAAGACAAATTGTGAGTATGTACCACCATGACAGTCATGAGCGGCAGGATACTAGTAAAAAAAGTCTAGAAGAATTGATATGAAACGGGCCAGGCGTGCTGGCTCAGGCCTATAATCCCAGCACTCTGGGATGCCAAGGAGGGTGGATTGCCTGAGCTCACGGGTTCGAGACCAGTCTGAGCAAGAGCAAGACCACTTCTCTAAAAATAGTCGGGCATTGTGGTGGGCACATATAGTCCCAGTTATTCAGGAGGTTGAGGCAAGAGAATCGCTTAAGCCTAAGAGTTTGAGGTTGCTGTGAGCTATGACGTTACAGCACTCTACTGAGGGCAACAAAGTGAGATTGTATCTCAAAACCAAAAAAAGAAGAGGTATGAAACGGTTAACAGCAATTACTTTGGAGAATGGAGTTTCCACCCATTTATATATATTTTAAGTTATTTACAATGAGCATTTGACACTTGTATAATTAAAAGAAATTTTAGTAGCTTTAAAGAAATATAAGCCTAATACTCATACATGTAAGCCTAAGGTCAAAAAGCTTTACAGATAACATCTTCCTGTTCTGTGATTACCATTCCGTTCCCTGCCATTTCAAACATGGGAAAAAAATCTATTTCTGTTGCTAAAAACAAATTTGCATAACAAAAACAAGTTTGGTCACCTCTTCTCAGTGGGGTCCATTCCAAGACCCCCAGTAGATGTCTGAAACCACAAATAGTACAGAGCCCCATATCTGCAATGTGTTTCCCTATACATACACACCTATGATAAAGCTTAACTTACAAAGAAACAATAACTAATAATAAAAGAGAACAATTCTAAAGACATGCCAGCATCATTACTCTTGCACTTTGGGGCCAATGTGAAGTAAAACAAGGTGTGATGCTACCATAGTTGATCTGATAACCTGGAGGGCCACTAAATGACCAAGGGGCAGGAAGAATTGACAACCCGATATGCTAGACAAAGGGATGAGTCATGTTCCAAGCTGGATGGAGCAAGGTTCCATCATGCACTCAAAATGGAGCACCATTCAAAACTTATGAATTGCTTATGTCTAGAATTTTCCACTTAATGTTTTTGGACCACAGGTTAGCAGAAGTTAACTAAAACTGTGAAACTGCAGATAAGGGGGAGTGACTATATTAAAAAAAAAACAACTCATCAGTGGGAATATTTTTAAATAGCCAAGAAAGAAGTCATCTACTTCAACAAACTCTCATCAGAAGATCGAAATAACATTTAACTTACCATGAGCAAAACCAACAGACATCCATAAGGCAACAAGTTGTGCAGTTTCAGATACCACAATAGAAAAAAAATCCTAAAATAGAATTTAGAAACTTTTTTTAGACTTTTGGTAAGGTATACTCTTTTAGGATCCTTTGGTAAGTCACAAGGTGAATATGGGAAGAATTCAAAGGTGGGTCAAAAGATGACTGAAGGATTGAACATTAGAATATACAAGAAAGGCTCAGCACCTGTAGCTCCATGGGTAGGGCACTGGCCACACCCGGGCTAGTGGGTTCAAACCCAGCCCAGGCCTGCTAAACGATGACAACTCCACCAACAACAAAAATAGCCGGGCGTTGTGGCAGGTGCCTATAGTCCCTACCATGTGGGAGGCTGAGGCAAGAGTTTGAGGTTGCTGTGAGCTATGACGCCACAGCACTCTACCAAGGGCAACCTAATAAGACTCTGTCTCAATATATATATATGCAAGAATGAGGAAGCTAAAATTCAGAGATAATACACATTACATAGTATTATAATCAAGCTTCTCCACGTCCAATAAGAAAAGTAAAAGGAATAGAATTTAGCACAAGGGAGTTAAATTTCAGAAATAGGAGTTATTAAACATTGAAAAGTATCACACAAAAAAACTATGAATTCTCTTGTCCGTGACTGTTTAAAAAAAAAAAACAATATAAAGATTTAAAAACTTCCCCAAGAATAGAAAAATCACAATTTTACATCACTCGTATGTACTGGGTTTATTTTAGAACTACTACTATACAAATATCTGCTCACCAAATGTGTGGTTAGAGAACGTATGTGACCAAGTTACAAAAGCTGCTCAAAAAAATAACATGCAGAGTTAGGACACAGGAACACCTGTTCTTTTGTCTAGTATCTTTCAAACAAAACAACTGTCTTTTATGAAGTGGTTCATCTCACCTGCACTCTGTGTTTGAAGTTCTAAATTGTAATCTCTAGTATTGATGGGCCAATGAGAGAATTACCCTTACTCTTTCAAAACTTACCACGTATCTATCCGGTTCTCTGACATCTACTGAGGGAAAATGCTCCTGTATGACAAAGTCTAATAATGTCCTGGAGATAAAAAGGAGATGGGATGAGTGTTCCTCAGAATATAGGACTAATATCCAAGCACCAAATCCACCTTCAACATTGAGGAATTTGTTAGATCAGGCTCAAAACGACTTTCAGAATAAGATTTTATTCCCCAAAAAGCCACAGAAAAATATTTCTACACTACCGATCAAAAATGAAAAATTTTCTAAGATCACACTAGATTCTACCTTAGTATGTTATAAATTCAGATTAGTTCCATAAACATCTACGGAGTATCTATGGTACCTACGGTGTTTGCCAAGCCCTGGGCAAGTTCTGGGAGAATGAGTGACCAGATTCAGACCTCACAGAGCGTATAGTGTATTACAGGAGAATCATGACATTACCACATAATAAATGCAATGTCAGAAATACAGAAAAAGTATAGCAATAGAGCAGGGAACGATTATTTGTGGAGGATCATTTAAGGCTTCACAAAGGAAATGACAAAAAATTGGTCAACATCTGTCTAAAGCTAACACATTTAAAGTACGCCTCTGTCATATTTTTTTTGCCTATTTTAACCAACTTTTCTAGTTAGTTGACTAACCGCTAGTGTTGACTGCATTCAATAAGATGGAATCTGGAGAAAAATAATCTAGGTTTTGTTATGATTTGGAAATGACTTAAAGCCAGTCAAAACAACACAGTTCGAATACTATCTATATCTAGGTCTCATATACGTGTGTGTACTTGTGTGTGTATATATGTGCATATACACGAAATATACATAGTACATGACAGTAACATCCTATTAGCCAGTGGAGGCTGGTCATCAAGGATGAAGTGGTGGACTTGAAATCAAATGCCAGAGAAGTAAGTGAAATAGAACTTTCAAGAAGCTTCTAAGCTCACTGAAAAATATTTCTAATGATTTTTACAAACTGTATTATCTTAACATAGGGAAACAGAATTCCTCTCAAAGGAAGAACTTTTGTGTTGGAATAAACATCTTGCTAAGCCTCCTTGAGGAAGAAGGAATTTGGGGAGCAGAGGAAACAATTTTAGTGGCGTAGTGCATCCAGGCAGAAGAGACCCAAAAAGCAAACGGGTAGTTAGAAACAGTGCCCACTAAAAGTAGACCGCTCTCTCCACCAGCCAAGCTGACCGTGACCTCAGTGAAAGACCCAGAGAATAGTGGTGACAAGTCTGACACCTACTCTACTCTTTATTCATTTCTTTCATTTTTTTCTCCTTTTATTCTTCATGGACCAAATCTGGATTTACTATACCAATAACTACCAATATAGGATCCAGATTCCAAATGATTATTGTTTATCTAAGAGAATCTTTAAAAACTATTACTAATTTTTCAGGGTGGTGCCTCTGGCTCAGTGGGTGAGACGCCGGTCCCATATACCAAGGGTGGTGGGTTTGTACCTGACCCCGGCCAAACGGCAACAAAAAATAGGTGGGCGCCTTGGCAGGTGCCTGTAGTCCCAGCTACTCGGGAGGCTGAGATAAGAGAATCACCTTAAGCCCAGGAGCTGGAGGTTGCTGTGAGCTGTGATGCGACAGCACCCTATTGAGGGTAAAAAAGTGAGACTGTCTCTAAAAAATATATATATTTTTCTAATTTTCTTAACTGTATTATCTTAACAAATGGAAACAGAATTCCTCTCAAAGAACTTTAGTGTTTGAACAAACATCTTGCTAAGCCTACTTAAGGGAGAAAGAATTTTATGAGCACAGAAACCAGCAGACACTAAGACCTCAGAGAATGACAGAAGCTGCAATGCGTGACTCCAAGAGAAGAATTTATTACTTTTGCTTTTTTTTTTTTCCTAATTGTTAAAAGACGCATTCTTACTGTCACCCGGGCTGGAGTACAGTGGTGCGATCACAGCCCACCACAGAGCCCGGCTTGTTTACAGACAGGGTCTTGCTCTGGCTTAGGCTGATCTTGAACTCCTGAGCTTAAGCAATCCACCCACCTCAGCCTCCCAGAGTGCTAGGATCACAGGCGTGAGTCAATGTACCCAGCCTCCCAACTAGCTTGTATCATTTTTTAATGTGATTTTTGTCCTTGTTTTTTCTCCTATATCTAATTTGCTGAGATAAAATGCAATCTTCTTATTTAGCCTTAAGAAGGAAACCCTGCTATTTGCACCAGGATGCATGAACCTTGAGACCATTATGCTAAACGCAATAAGCCAGAAACAGAAAGATAGATACTGGATGTTCTCCCTTTCATGTGGAATCTAAAAAGTTGAACTCATAGAAATAGAAAGAACAGTGGTTACCAGCGGTTAGGCAGATGTTGCTCAAAGGGCACAAAGTTTCAGTTAAAAGATGCCTAAGTTCTGAAGACCCAATGAATAGACTATAGTTAGCACCACTGTATTATTATACTTGAAATTTCCTAAGAGATCGTAACTATTCTCACCAAAAAAACAAAACGTGAGGGGATGGATATGGCAACGAGCTTGATTAGGGTAATCATTCCACACTGTACATCAGAACATCCCATTATATAAATATGTACAATTCTTATATGCCAATTACTCTTCAGTAAAGCTGGGGGGAAATTTATGTTCACAGCTAAAGAAAAACAATGTAATGTTCTAACCTCAGTAGATCCAGTTCACCATAATGCGCCAAAATTTCTAATGATCCGATTCTAAACCATGATTTTGCGACACGCAGCACTATTGCACCTTAAAAAAAAAAAAAAAAAATTTTAGCACAAGCTATGTGAATATAGCAAAATGTCTTAAAACGGATATTGTTTTAATAAAAAAGAACATACGCACTGGATTTAGCAGAAAAGCAACTAATTTACACTCCATAAAGGACGAGGGGTATTTCTCTAGCCCATTAAAGCCTGAATCAGAATGTTAGGAAAGCAAGGTTAGGATAGCAAGGCTCCAGTCTAGCTAAGGCTGATAGGTCGTCCACAGGCTTCAAGCTTCAGACTCTCCACTGTCTCATTAGCTGTGACCTTTTCCCTGTTAACGTCATCCTGCAAAGGGGACTTAATGAATTTTGATAAGCCTTTATAGTAATTAGCAAACAGAATTCATGAGGAATGCTACACCTACACGTGTTTAGATGTCAAAATAAGGTCAAGGTCTTACAAGTCCTTGCCCTGTGGGTGCTGTCCAGAAGGGACCGCCATGCTCACTTTGTTAGTGCTATTCTCTCTGTGTCCCCATACCCCACTCCCTCTTGTCCCCTTACTGAAATCCTACCTGACTACGCTCAAGATCACTGATCCATCCGTCCCCCTTTCACTGACCTCTGATGACTTATTATTCATTTGTTCCCTGTATTTAAGTCTCTTCTCTCCAAAGACCGTGAATTTCTTAAGACCAGGGACTACTATGACATACCTCTTACTCTCAGGCCCCCTTAAACCAGTAGTGGGCAGAAGAAAGGACCAATTACTAATAGTATTCTCATTATCCATACAGTCAAGACGTATTCATAATAATCTGGATATTTATATTCATGAGTTCTTTGAGCAATAAAATGTAGTCACTTAGAAAGAATACATAAAAACTCAGTTATTCTAAATGTTAAGGAATAGCTATTGAACCACCAAATGTTAGCACTGGGAGACACAGAGGTAGCTCTAACCTCCTTGTGTGAGATGAAGAAACTGAGACACAGAATGTTTCAGTGACTTGCCCAGGCCACCGAGCTAGTTCCTGCAGAGCCAATTCTAGGTTTCACATATTCTTTTTTCCTGTCTAGCTCTCTTCTCTTTTTTTTTTTTGAGACAGAGCCTCAAGCTGTCACCCTGGGTAGAGTGCCATAACATCACAGCTCACAGCAACCTCTAACTCCTGGGCTTAAGCAATTCTCTTGCCTCAGCCTCCCAAGTCACTGGGACTACAGGCGCCCACCACAACGCCTGGCTATTTTTTGGTTGTAGTGGTCATTGTTGTTTGGCAGGCCAAGGCTGGATTCGAACCTGCCAGCTCTGGTGTATGTGGCTGGCGCCTTAGCCACTTGAGCCACAGGTGCCAAGCCTCTAACTCTTCTCACTGGACCACCGTGGACCCTATGCAAATGTAACAGCACAATTGAAATATGTGAACATATGAGTGGATATGGAAATCCTATTAATTAATGGCCAAATAGAAGAAATACTTGGGATTATTTAAACCATGGGATCAATTAAGATTGTGGCGAAGAATTCAGATAATAACTCACAGCCACAAAAGTTAGTAGTATTGCATCAGTCTTGCCACAGTCTGTGACTAGAATCTCAGATCAAATCACCATAAGCAAGAAAACCTACAGGCCTGTGTGCAATAGCATTATTTATCCTGGTGAAATTAGAGGGGGGACAGAGAAATGTCATAAGGATAATCTTAACTCCTTTAAGCATAAATACTTCTGAGGGACATTTTTTTTTTTAATAAGAACTTATGCTATGGTCTGAAAGTTTGTATTCCCCCCAAATTCCCATGTTGAAACCTAATTACTAAGGTAATGGCAACAGAAGGTTACCTCTTTGGGAGGTAATTAGGTCATGGGGGCTCCACCCTTGTGCATGGGATCAGCGTCCTTATGAAGGAGGCCCCAGGCCCCTTATGTCTTCACCTTCTGCCATGGGAGGATGCAGCGAGAAGGCACCATCTGTGAAGCAGACGCTGAATCTGCTGGCACTTTGGTCTTGGACTTCCCAGCCTCCAAAATTATAAGCAACAGACTCATGTTGTTCATAAATACCCAGTTTAAGGTATTACGTCATAGCAGCCCAAACCCTTCCAGTGACATCCAGTGATGTCCACAGGACTCACTACCACAAAGGCCTGTCAAAGGTTCTCAACCTCAACTTTTTAAGCTCTTAACTATGTTTATTATTGATGTCAGTTCTCTTCCTCTTCCTAGAGGTTCAGAGTCAAGTCTCTCTCACTCTGTTTCTGTTGCTCCAAGGATCCCTTTCTCCTCCTCTTTCTGATATTTTATTTCTGCACTACTAAAGGCTAAACAGGAAAGTTAACTTGAGCTTACTGGAAGTAAACAAGACTTGAGGAAAAGTCTGCAGTGCTTTCTTGAGAAGAAAGTGTATGCACTGTATTGGCTTCGGAACATTCTGCCAGCTGTTCACAAATATCTTTTTGTTCACTTCCCAGATGTTTGCTGTTTGAAATGGATGAATTAGTGATACAGGGGTGTGGCAAAGGGTTTTCTATGATTATGATCTAGTGTTGAAATGACATCGTGAAGAACCAGGGGGTTATATTAAGATTGCAAATGTCTAACATCTAAGTCCAAAACTGAACTAAGAACTTGATCCAATTTTATGCGCACATTCTAAGAATGGCCATTACCTCGTTCTTTTGTGATCGTTCCATTGTAAAACTGATCTCGCCAGACTTCATCATCACTCACAACCAGACTGAAACATAAGAGAATCGAGCAAAGTTACATTTTAACTGCTATCAAGAAGTAGCCGAAACAATAAGCAACTGGAAGACATAGTTACTTGCTATGTGAGATTCATCTGCTTGATTTCCTGACATGTTTCTGGAGATAGCAGGATGCAGCCCTGAAAGTTAGCCTTCAAGAAAGAGGAATTTACCTTGCAGCTCGGCTAGTTGGAATTCCAAGATAGTGCATAGCCTCACTGCACAGAAATTCTCTCACAGAGGAACGAAGTACGGCTCTACCATCACCATTTCTGTACAAAATAAAATTTAAAAGATTTTCATTTGTCATTAAGGTAACGTCGATCTTATCCAGATGATTAAAAAAGCTACCAAACTGTACCGTGAGTATGGGGTCTTTCCTGAGCCTTTTAACTGGAGCTCCCACTTTTCACCCTGCCTTCAAAAAAAAGCCTACGTATTAGAAGATTCACATTAATATTAAGGAAAAAAGCTATTATGCAGGCAAACATGTGGTACCTGTTCACGTAAATTCCAAGAAGGTGGGCTCTTCCATCCCCAAGTTGATCTGCCCATACCCCAAACTAAAGAAGAAAAAGAAGAAAGAAAAATTGTTAATCACCTTCATATAGCTTTTTTTGTTTGCTTTGGAGCCAGAATCTTGCTCAGAGATTTGGCTAAGGAGCAACGGCACCATCATAGCTCACTGCAAACTCCAAATCCTGTGCTCGAGTGATCCCACTGCCTCAGTCTCCCTAGAAGCTAGAACTACAGGCCCCAGGCACGTGCTATATAATTTCCTAATTTAATCCTTACACCAACTCTGTTATGCCATACTAATTGTCCTAAAATTCCTGAGTGAACCAGCATTACCAAAACATTCTCTCGGAAAACCAGAGTGTTAAATTAATTTTACCTAGTTTATAGGAAAGTCACAGAAATTTCAACAATTGATTTTATGTTCCTATTTCCCCCCTTTAATTAGTCAGACTATAGTTACTCAACTTGTCCCAACATCTTATTTCTAGAATGTACCTTAATCGCTTCCTGTTCACTGCACTATATAAAACACACACACACCCCCCCCCATAAATCTTGGTTCCGCCTTTCTAATAGTTCTACAACTTTGTTCCATGGCTACCCTAGGCAAATTATTAAATATAATCTATTTGTCTTTCTGGTACTTTTTAACAAGTCTTGCTTTGTCACCCTCGGTGGAGTGCCGTGGCGTCACAGCTCACAGCAACCTCCAGCTCTTGGGCTTAGGTGATTCTCTTGCCTCAGCCTCCCGAGTAGCTGGGACTACAGGCACTGCCATAACACCAAGCTATTGTTGTTGTTGCAGTTTGGTTGGGGCCGGGTTTGAACCCTCCACCCTCAGTATGGGGGGCCGGCGCCCTACTCGCTGAGCCATAGGTGCCACCCTCTGGTACTCTTATATTGACGTTCTATGCTCTGTGCTATATTATGCTATGCTAGTTTTGCCTAAAATTCTTGTCAAAACTGAGTGACTTCCCTAGCAATGCTTCGTGGAAATTGTATGCTTATACTGCACCAATCTTCCTAATTCCACCAAGGGAACTTAAGCCTCTGCCTTTATCACAGCTAATACATAAACATCTTACGATGACATATTCTTCTAGGACCATCTTTTTGCAGGCCCAAAACACTAATATTAGACAAATTAATGCAAAATAATTTAATAGGACAGAACCAAATGATATTTGCATAAGGAAAGTGACACTGTTGCTACTCTTACCTGGTGGCCACCATATCGGTGGGCCAATGGAACGGATCCAAACACTAACTTTTTGCCACTGACAAGCTGGATAAAATCATCTGTTTTTGAGACAGATAAATCGAGGTCCAAAATATCTTCTAGAACTTCCTGAGGCAGGGGAAAAAAAAAGTTTATAACCCTAATTAATCGTTTAGTAATCCTTAAGGATAGAGAGTTAATAGAAGAAAAAAATTAAGCCTCTTAAGTCCCTTCCAAAAATATATTAACATTTTTCTCATAACACTTTCCATGATTATTTATGCTACTTGGGAAAAATTAGTTCTGGCACATGGTTCTAAAATTTGTATGGCTGTCTTGTAATGTACGGTAAGATAATATTTTTACCAGCACACGTTCTTTGAAGGAACTAGAAAGAAGTAAATGTCCTATATTATCCCCAACTAATTTATATCATGAGACAACAATGTAGAATTGGCTAGTAGACACCATTTCACCAACAATGTAGAATTGGCTGGTAGACACCATTTCTAAATCTTACACTGTCAGGAAAGTGCATTTTCCTTGTAAGATAACTGAGCACAACATTCCAGGAGTAAGTATCAGAAAGTGATTTCTATAAGAACAACATTCTCCATGTATCTGAATTTCACACACAGTCATTTATAAATAGACTACTATTAACTGGGAATAAAATAGCACGTATTTTTTTTTTTTTAGACAACTGTTTTAACGATTAAGTATTTGCATCGCGAAAAAAATAAATCCTAACCTTTGAAACTGCTACAAGACGTACTCTTGATTTGAAAGGAGTTGGGAAGGCAACGGAAAAAATACAGGTTTTCACTTTACGAACATAATTTTCCATAACAGGATCAACTGGCAACACAGCTGATTAAAAAAAAGAAAAGCTTTCTTAATGTTCTCATTTCGGGGCCTTTACAGCATTAATCCTCTTTAGAAGGACTATAGTTACTCAAGAAAATCAACTTCAGTCACTACTTTCTTCATTTTCTGTTATTTAAAGGTACTTTCCCATTTCCAACATTATCCAACACTCATATAGCATACAGAATTGTCTAAGAAGAGAAAGGGAAATGGAAAAAGTTAAAAACAATAAGATACATACCTTGTTTTCAAAGATTTTCGCTCATTGGAGACAAACAGTATATGCAACATATTTATACAGAGGAACCCATAGAGCTACATTGCAGGATTAGAATTACAGTACTAGTCTATTCAGTGGAACTAAGATATACTGGGCACGTAAGCACATGCATTCTGCCCTTCAGAAACTCACAATTAACTGAATGAAACGGACAGACAATAGATCTAAACTTTAAGACCAGGCAATGTATGGTTTACTAGATGTTACAACTACTCTGTATCCCACAACGCTTTATACATGCCTGCTCACAAGGCTAGAAGTTTAAAAACTGCCTAGGAAGAGACAAAGTATGTTTCATCAAGTCCATGCACAGAAGAACATGTACTGTATTTTAAAAGCTGTGGAGGGAAAGAGAGCTTTGAACATGCTTTAGGTGCTTGCTTTACATACAATACTTTCACTCTTCATCTGTTTTCCTAACCCAAAGCGATTAAAACAAAAACCAAATAGATGTATTGACAAAACCCCAAGACTGAGGGACACACAAACCCATGTTTCTAGATAAAGATTGATACATCCAAATGTGCCACCAAATCATTTAATAAACACGGGAATCTGATCAAAATCCTGGTAGAATCTCTTGAAGAAACAATCTTAATATGCAATGTGGAAAAATAAATTACAGTTTTTGAAAGACAAGTGAGTTTGCCTATCATATTAAAATCGTAAGAATGCAGTAACTAAAAATATTATCTCAAAGATGTGATAATCAATGGAACCCAATAAAAAGCACAGAAACAACCTCAAATTATAAAAGAATTTCCTGTATAATGAAATAATACTTCAAATTAGTGGAGTAAGGTGGTATAAGGACAATTTGCTCAACCGTTTGGAATAACTCCACTGAATTCCATCCTGGCTTAAGTGAATTAAAAACCACTTATAGCAGCAGTAAGATTAATCTTATATCCTCCTGAAATGAGTAATCAAAACAGGCAAATGTGAAACATTTAACCCTTTACACTTTCTCCTAAGTTTATGATAAGGCCAAGAGCATTCTGGGGAAATAAAAAACAGATAATTTCAGCATTCACCAAGGAAAACCTGACAATATAATTAAAAAATGCAAGTATGTATTCTCTTCTAGGACGGCCCATGTGAAATTCACTGCATTATATAACTGATGCTCTCTCCTTTAAGACGCTCTGACGTCATGGTAGAGCATGCACACTATATAACTGTTAGTAATTATGATTTTGTACTGATTGATGCACATTCTGACAAGATCAGTCAATACAGGTGATCGACTGGCCAGGGAACCAAAAAGGCTAATTGCTTCAGGAGTGTCCAACCCCCACCCTTGTGATGCTTTTACTAATCAGTCACTGACTTAAAAACCCAGAAAATTCCAAAAGCATTTTGACCTTTTATCTTAACATCTCAGAAAAATCAGTAGTTGCAAAATACAATTCAGTTTTGATTAAGAACATCCAATCCACAATGACCAAGAGGCTTTCAGTGCAACTGTTTGAACCTTTTCTCTCAATAGATGTTCTTACCAGTCACCTGGGCAATTCACTGGTCACTTATTTAATAACATCAGGATGAGATGTTTTACACAGTACTGTGAACCAGCTGGTAATATAGTAGAACCTCTGTAAGTTGACCACCCAAAGAACTATAACGAACATACGGAAGTCGTCAACATGAGGAACTAGGTCTATTGTACTGGTATGTACATGTGGTACATGTCTGGTCTATGAAAATTAGGTCAACATAAGGAGGAGGTCAATGTAGGGAGATGGTCAAGTATGGAGGTTCCTACTGTATATATAGTATTATATTTATAATCTCTCCTTGGCTATAAAACCTGGTCCCATTGCAGACAATATGTATTGAATAGTACCCTCCAACATTGAAATGACAACTTTGAAAATGCTCTCAGTTACACACTTAGGCCATTTTGATCTGTCCATATTGGTTGTTTCATTTGCACAAGTGTAGTAGGAAAGAGCAAAGTTGTTTTTAACCTGCACAAGAGGATTCTATTCTATTTTACAATTACCAGCACAATTACCTTCTTAAAAAAAAATTTTTTTTTTCATTGTGCCCATTAAGTGGGAGCACACCAATCTTCCCCCTCCCCCCCAACTTGAATTGAGCTGAAATTCTCTCTTATGTGGGCATGTATTAGATCATGTATTGGCTTCATGTTAATATTGAGTACATTGGATACTTGCTTTTCCATTCTACAACTCTATCCAGGCTAATATAAAAGATGTAGAGTCTCCATCTTTTTATGGGTGAATAGTACTCCACGGTATACTTATACCACAGTTTTGTTAATCCATTCCTGGGTTGATGGGCATTCAGGTTGTTTCCACATCTTGGCAATTATAAATTGAGCTGCGATAAACAATCTACTGCAAATGTCCCTATGATAAAATGTCTTTTTTTTCTTCTGGGTAGATGCCTACTAAAAGGATTGAGGGATCAAATGGTAGGTCTAATTTGAGTTCTTTGAGGATTCTCCATACTTCTTTCCAAAGAGGCTGCACTAGTGTGCAGTCCCACCAACAGTGTAAAAGCATTCCACTCTCTCCACATCCATGTCAGCATCTGTAGCTTTAGGATTTTGTGGGCCATTCTCACTGGGATTAGGTGATATCTCAGAGTGGTTTTGATTTACATGTCTCTGATTAGGGATAATGAGCATTTTTTCATGTTTGTTACCCATATATCTGTATTCCTCAGAGAAGGTTCTGTTCATGTCTCTTACTCAGATATAGAATTGTTTGTTCTTTTTTTGATTAATTTGAGTTCTCTCTAGATCCTAGTTATCAAGTCTTTGTTAGATTAGTAACAAATATCTTTTCCCATTCTGAAGGCTATTTGCTTTATTGTCTCCTTAGCTGTGCAGAAGCTTTTCACCTTAAGTCCCATTTGTTTATTTTGGTTGTTGGAATTGCTGCTGAAGTCTTCTTCATAAAATCTTGCCCTAGGAGGACATCCTCAAGAGTTTTTCCTGTACTTTCTTCTAGAGTTTTTATAATTTTATGTCTTAGATTTAAATCTTTTGTCCATCTTGAGTCAACTTTTGTAAGTGGTGAAAGGTGCTGAAGTTTCAGTCTTCTACGTGTGGTTATCCAGTTCTCCCAGCACCATTTATTGAATAGGGATTCTTTTCTCCAGTGTATCCTCTCGTTTAGTTATCAAAGATCAGATGGCTGTAAGAGACTGGTTTCATCTCTTGGTTTTCTATTTGGTTCAATATGTCTATGTCTCCATTTTTGAGTCAATACCATGCTGTTTTGACTACTGTTAACTTGTAATACAACCCAAAGTCTGGTAGAGTGATAACTCTGGCTTTCTTTTTATTACTAAGAACTGCCTTGGCAATATAATGTTTTCTTTGGGTTTCATACAAAACAAAGTACTATTTTTTCAAGTTCTTCAAAGTATGACTTGGCATTTTAATGGAAATTGCATTAAATCTATAGATTGCTTTGGGTAGTTTAGACATTTTAACAATGCTGATTCTTCCCAGTCAAGAGTTCATGTTAATTTTTGTTAATGTCTTCTGCTATTTCTTTTCTTAGGGTTTCATAATTCTCTTTGTAGAGGTCCTTCACCTCTTTTGTTAGGTACATTCCTAGGTATTTCATTTTCTTTGAAGCTACTGTGAAGTGAATTGTGTCTTTGATTTGCTTCTCAACTTGGCTATTATTGGCATATACAAAAGCTACTGATTTGTGGCCACTGATTTTATACTCTGAGACATAGTTCTTGATCACTTCTAGGAGAGGACCCAACTAAAAAGGGGAACTACAGACAAACTTCACTAATGAATACTGAAACAAAAATACTCAAAAGCAAGCCAATAGATTACAGCTAAACATTAAAAGAAATTATACAACATGATTAAGGAGGCGTCTTCCCAGGGATGCAAGGGTGGTTTAACATATGCAAATCCATAAATGTAATTCACCATATCAACAGAAGCAAAAATAAAGACCATATGATCCTCTCAATAGATGCAGAAAAAGCATTTGATAAAATTCAGTATCTTTTTCTAACAAGAACACTTAAGAATATGGGCATAGGTGGCACATTACTGAATATAATGGAAGCCATCTAGGACAAATCCACAGCTAATATCATACTGGAGTGAAACTGACAGCTTTTCCATGTAGAACTTGAAGCAGACAAGGATGTCTCTTAATCATCACTACTATGCAACAGTGTTGAAAGTTCTAGCCAAGGCAACCAAGTAAGAGAAGGCTATAAAGGGCATCCAAATGGGGGCAGAGGAGGTCAAACTCTTGCTCTTGCTGATGATACAATCTTATACTTAAAGAACCCCAGAGACATCATTTAACTTATATTTACTTTGATCCTGAGACTGATTGAAAAGTCACTTTTCAATTTTGCACGTCCTACTGACAGGTTATTGCCCTGGAGTTTCGCTATGTGTCAGAAGCCTTAAGTAAGCACCAGCTTTCCCCACTTAGCCCAGTTATACCAGTGTGTCTTTTATTATTATTATTTTTTTTTTTTTGAGACAGTCTCTCTCAGTTGTCCCAGGCTGAAGTGCTGTGGGGTCATAGCTCACAGCAACTTCAAACTCCTGGGCTCAAGCAATCCTCTTGCTTCAGCCTCCTAAATAGCTGGGACTATAGGCACATGCCAGCACACAGGCTTATTTTTATATTTTTAGTAGAGATGAGGCCTTCCTCTTGCTCAAGCTGGTCTCTAGAACTCCTGACATCAAGCACTGCCTGTCTCACCCTTCCAAAGTACTATACTACCGCATCTCTTAAAGAACTAGGTTTTCTGTTCTAATCTGGCCAAGCAATCTCTAAGTGAAAATGAATTATAAGCTTAATTATATTCCAGAATTGTGCAGTGCTGTATTTCCTAACTGTGCAAGTTTGGGCATGCTACCTAAGATAGTTATCTTACAATAAGACATTTACATGCTGCCTTATCTGAGGAAAAAAGGGCAAATGATAATATCTTAGTCATGAGACTGTCAAGTACAAGTGTTTATTGCTACCCTCTGGCAAATTCTAGCTGTTGGGTGTTTAATATACATGTATAAACCTAATCTATATCAAGATAAACCACAGGTGTGTTTTAAGAACCTTTACTTGGCTTGGCGCCTATAGCTCAACCGGCTAAGGCGCCAGCCACGTACACCTAAGGTGGCGGGTTCGAATCCCCAGCCCGGCCCCGCCAAACAACAATGACGGCTGCAACCAAAAAACAGCCGGGCGTTGTGGCGGGCGCCTGTGGTCCCAGCTACTTGGGAGGCGGAGGCAGGAGACTCGCTTGAGCCCAGGAGTTAGAGGTTGCTGTGAGCTGTAATGCCACGGCACTCTACCCAGGGGGACAGCTTGAGGCTCTGTCTCAAAAAAAAAAAAAAAAAAGAACCTTTACTTGTAAAGCACTTTGAATATTTTTACGTACTGTTCTTCAAATCTGAAAAAATGCCCCCAAATTGGTTTACTTTAACAGACTTCTTCATACCTATTCCCTGATGCTTTTATTTAATAGAAAACTATACATTTAAAGTAAGTGTGAAGATAATATGCACAGCTGTAGGGCTACCGCATTCTTTCGTGCAAGAAGTGTGGTTCAGACAAACAAGAAAAAGTGTATCAGACACCTGCAGTTACCTATTTGCTTGTCTATTTCCTCATAAGAGTGAATTTTTGGAAGACTGCTTCTTTTATTTTTGCATTCCTAATGTTTACACTCTCTCTCACTGGCTCTGTGTATTTGAATGCATGTGTTGGAAGCTTAATTATATTACAGATTTCTTTTAAAATGAGCTCTTCGGAGATGAAATGTAGCTGAAGAGCTGACCCCCTATCAGGTATCAGTCCTGTCCACTAAGTCCTCAGCCTCTCCTTGGCTGGGTAAAAGTAGGTTCAACCTTATAAAACACCAAACAATTTCACGCATCTCAGTACACCCAAAGGTGGGGCTCACATATCCAGGTGTGAGCAATGCTGCCGAACTATACCTATAAGATTTTCCGAGGACAGAGTCCAAAAGTCGAGAGATGCAGCTAATTTAGCTTCTGTTTCACAATAGCCCTGATCCGGGTAGGACTTGTTCCTGGAAATCTGCAGAAGATTGCCGCTTCCTTCAAGCAGAGATTGCAGCAGGCAGGAGACCAGGGCATGGCAGGTCACACCCCAGACAAGCAGGCGCGCAAGCTGTAGCCTCCCGATCAGGCCGCAGACCAGGAACCCGATTCTTTGAGTCATATTTCTGCCTGAATACGTACAACAAAAGGTCTAGTGACCCGCCTGCTAGCAGTCGGTCTCCTGAAGGTACATTTTTGCTATAACTGCTGACGTGATCGGCTCCCCCCGAGTGGCTTGGGGGAAGAAGCAGTACAGAGGGCTGGCCCCGTGGAAGGTCCCGTTCGGGGTCCCGGGGCTGGGCCTCCCAGCCCAGAAGGCGCCGGGATCCCGGAGCGGGGAGGAGCGAGGCCGGGCGGGGCGCAAGCGCTTCCTGTGCCAGGTTTCCGGCTCCGGGTCCCGGGAGGAGGACCGCGGGGCCAGAGGCGGAGCCGCCGCCCTGCCGCGACTTTCAGACTCGGACCATGGCTTCGCGCTGGTGGCGGTGGCGGCGCGGCTGCTCCTGGAGGTCTGCGGCGCGGAGCCCGGGGCTGGATTCTCCGGGCCGAGCGGGGCCGCGCGCCGCCGCCGACCCCCGCGTGCAGGTGAGGTCGGGAGGCGCGCGTCCGGCGGGGCACAGAGGTCACGGCGCCATTGACAGCCGGACCGCGGAATGAATGGGCGCTAGGAACACGTGCGCGGGGGGCACCGGGGCGCGGGCGCCCAGGGCCGCCCCCACTGGGACTCCCGAGTAGCCGGGCGCCGGCGGTGGGTCGCAGTCCCGCGTTTGGCTGAAGCCCCACGGGAGGGTGCAGAGCTGCGCCTTGGGGACCAGTATTTGGGGATGGGGGCGGGAGAAAGCGGTGAGAAGCTCAGTGCTGGGGAGGACGCGCTCAGTGATCAGATTGTCCAGTGGGATAGGGACCCAGGTAAAGCCTGGAGACTATCTACAGCTCTTTCCTCTCGAGTTAGCGAAGACAGATCTTATCTGGAAGTTTTGAGCAAAAGGTGCTCCAAGCCCTGAATTTGCAGAAGATCCAACTGGCCTCTTGAGTACTCAGAAAAGGGCTTGTGGGAGAATGCAGGGCTGATGCTAGGTGCTCCGGAGGCGGAACACACTTGGATGGGAATGGAAGGGCACAGCTAGGGGAAAAGGCCTGAGGATATCGGCGGAGAGGAACCCTGGAGTCAGCTTTGCTCCGACCTATGACTTCTTGAAGTCAGGTCTGAATCTCAGCAGTAGCCATGGTCCTTCAGGTTTTCCCCTGCTGCCTTTGGATCCAATCCTATTTTTCTCCTTTTTTGGGTCAGTTTAGCCTCTGTAAATGGACTTGTTCTTATGACTGTGTAAGTCCTTCTGCACTTTGGAATGATTAATTCTCAATGTGCTATGGGATAAGCCCATACTGTTAGCATAACTGGGCGGTATCTATGGACTCGTTGTGTAAGTTTCTTTGAATTTAGAACTCTTCAGTGTCATTCCCTTTTTGATACACTTACGTGTTTAGGTACTCATCAAACACCATTTACCAGTATGGCATATATGGCATTTGTTAATGTCTGCTTTGTACCAAAGTGGATGCATATAAAATTGTCATCCAAAGAAGTTGTTTGGGGTGAAAGCACTGGGCTTGTAGACAGACTATACAATAAAGCAGCGGTTCTCAACCTGTGAGTGGTGACCCCTTTGTAACAATGAAAATACATCCTGCACATCAGATATTTACATTATGATTCATAACAATAGCAAAATAACAGTTATGAAGTAGCCATGAAAATTTTATGGTTGGAGTCAGCACAACATGAGGAACTGTGTTAAAGGGTCGCGGCATTAGGAAGGTTGAGACCACTGCATAAAGAGTAATGCAGGGGTGATGGAAGTACCGTCCCTGCCAGACTAAAAATATTTCTGATCCCACAGATGAAAATATTTGCTGAGACCGATGCATCCACCCTCTCTCTGATGCAACTAGATACTTCTATCCTTTGACACTCCTTTTTTTGATTTCATGCCCACCAAGCAACCTAAGCCATAAGAAGTGTGCTTTTCCAGATAGACTTGCTTCATGGCTTCCATGTCTGCCTGAATGGCCAAGACTTGAGGGACTCGGCTGCCAAGGTCACATATTTCCGATCTGTGTGTCAGGGATGTATTTTACCTTACATTAATACATTAGCTTTCTGGTGTCTGCCTCAGGCATGTGTGTTTTTGGTTACTTCAAGTCTCTCAGGGCCTAATAATAGTCCTTGGGGACAGATATCAACGGTACAATAATTAAGCGCCGTCTGACTCCCCAGCACATCAGCTCTACTATCCTGATGTTTGTACATTCTCCTGACTTCCCCACTAGTAGTGTGAACTAATCTTGCAACAGGATAAAAACCAGTGTGCCAAATGACTTGTCAGTATGTTTTTTGTTCTTCCCCAGCCTTTTATCGTAAAAAGCAAATTCATGAGAGACAAGGTTGACTTTCAGGGACAGTGTATGATGGAGAGGTAGGGAACAAAATTGGCATTGGCAAACGATTGTTGTCCCCGCTAGTAGTGTGCTTCAGCCATGGTTTCACAGCTCTCTAAATCAGTGGTTCTCAACCTTCCTAATGTTGCGATGTATTTTCATTGTAACAAAGGGGTCGCTACCCACAGGTCGAGAACTGCTGCTCTATATAATTTACTGCTCTTCTGGGGGCCTTTAACCTCACTTTGGAAAACATTGCTATAAGCAAGGGGTATCCAAACTGCAGCCCAGGGGCCACATGCATATTGTTTGAGGACTGTTTTATCTTTGCTGTCGGATATCACTGAAAGCATGCGCAGACCTTTTCTTGCTCATCAGCTTTTGTTAGTGTTTGTGTATTTAATGTGTAGCCCAAGACAATTCTTATTCTTCTAATGTACGGCAGAAAAGAAAAAATGTTGGACACCTCTGCAAGGTATTAAATATAGTATTGATTTAATAGATATTGTATTAAATGTATATACTGTGTGCCAGTCTCTGAGCTAAGAGCTTTATGTATACTCTCTAATCTCAACATCTTTCCATGAGTAAATGTCATCAGAGAGATGTTACAAGGTAACACCAATGGTGAGATTTGAACCAAGATCTCTCTTCCAAAGACCCTGTTCCTAACAACTATTAGGCTGCCTAGTGATAAAGAGCCCCTGTATTAATTAGGTATGTGGTTTGAACCCTTCACCGTTAGTCCTTCTAATGATAGAGGACTATCATTAGGTCTGTTAACTGAATAACTGTAACTCTGCCACTAAGGGGCCCTTCTTTTTTTTTTTTTTAGAGACAGAGTCTCACTTCAGGGTCCTCAGTAGAGTGCCATGGCGTCACACAGCTCACAGCAACCCCCAATTCCTGGGCTTAGGTGATTCTCTTGCCTCAGCCTCCCGAGTAGCTGGGACAACAGGTGCCTGCCACAACGCCTGGCTGGTTTTTTTGGTTGCAGTTTGGCCGGGGCCGGGTTTGAACCCGTCACCCTCAGTATATGGGGCTGGCACCGTACCCACTGAGCCACAGGTACCGCCCAGGGGGGCCCTTCTTTATAAAGTATTCTAATAAATTACTGAATTCGTATGAATTACCCACAGACTGAATGAAGTAGGTGATAAGGGGCGGCGCCTGTGGCTCAAGGAGTAAGGTGCTGCCCCATATGCCAAAGGTGGTGGGTTCAAACCCAGCCCTGGCAAAAAAAAAAAAAACAAAACTGAAGTAGGTGATAATGGTGTAATGGTGAAAGCAAAAGGAAGGAAGGATTATCACTGTTTTCTGGGACACTGTAAATGCTAGGAACGGGATAATGTTCCTACTGGTTTAACGAGTATATAATGTTATATTGAAAAGAATGAAACTCAGACCTGACTTCTCTGGCAAAGTCAACCTATTTTATTTCTTTTTAATTATTTATTTTGAGACAAGATCTCTTACCCAGTGGCACAAACTCCTGAGCTTTGGTCCTCCTCCCTCAGCCTCCACACTAGCCAGGCCTACAGGTGTGCACCATCATACTCAACTAATAGTTTTATTTTTATAGAGATGGGGTCTTGCCATGCTGCCCAGGCTCATCTTGAACTCCTAGCCTCAAGCAATCTATCCTCTCTCCTTCACATCCCGAAATACTTAGGTTACAGGTGTGACAGCACACTCAGCATATTGTCATTTTAACATGACTAAAGGAATACATGTTCATTAGAGAAAAATCAGAAAATGTATACCAAAAAAAGGAGCAAAATAAAACAATCCTATTTACCCCAAAGTAGCTACTTTTAACACCCTTCTGTAGGGTGTTCTATTCCCTGTGTGTACATAAAAATTCTTAGTGAAATTATGTAACTCAGAGTTCTGCAACTTCCCCCTGTGGAATATTGTAAACATGTCTACATATCAGTTTTTCATACTTCTCTTTTCTGAACCTCACGTTCCCCAGCTTTTTGGAAGCAAGGATGAAATGAAATGTGAGGATCAAATGAAATAATGGGGCAAAACCCTATTGTAAGACTTTAATATGAATAGAGTAGATTGATTTTATTTTTGTTGTGTGCTAACTTCTTTTTTGCTAAAAGGCTTTCTTCACATACTCTATATAAGAGCCCTTATATTAGATCAATAAATTAATATTCTTTTAGATTCCTGAATTCTGCAGTCTGCTTTTGGGTCCCCAGAGCCTGTCACAATTCCTGGCCTATAATAATTTTCAGGTGGAATTAACATCTGTTACTATCTCTGAATCTTTCAGAATTGTTCTAGTTTCATTCTTTGATCTCTGATTGTATTATCACAAATGTACTTCTGAGGTGCTGACTGGTTGTTTTTTAACGTTGTTTATTATGGAAGTACTTTTTTTTTTTTTTTTGGAGACAGTCTCACTTTGTTGCCCTTGGTAGAGTGCTGTGGCATCATAGCTCACAGCAACCTCAAACTCTTGGGCTTAAGTGATTCTCTTGCCTCAGCCTCCCAAATAGCTGGGACTGCAGGTGCCCACCACAATGCCCAGCTGTTTTTTGGTTGTAGTTGTCATTGTCGTTTGGCAGGCCTGGGTTGAGTTCAAACCAGCCAGCTCCGGTGTATATGGCTGGTGCCTTAGCTGCTGAGCTACAGGGGCTGAGCCGGAAGTACCCTTTCTGAAGAATGTTTACAGACAATAAAATAGGCAGTGTTGTGGGTAAATGTAAATTTCTTCCTTAGCATTGAAATCTTTTGCTTTTTCATCATCTGGTATGATGCTTTTTGAGATCTTGATTATTTGTTTTAAATTCATTTCTATCATTACTCTTTATCATAAAC